AGAACACCTCAATCGCTTAGGAGACATTCTTGTCTGCATCTGCTCCGGCAGTGAAACAATGGTGGACTGATGACACCTCACTCAGGGCGGGTCTAAGGTTAAACGCTAGTGTCAATCAAACAATCGTGTGACATCACACAGACAGCCATCTGAGATCGGCTCGATTTGAGAAAGGTGAAATGATTTAACGAGATAAAAAAAACACTTGGTGGACCTTTATCATTATAGGGTGGTTGTGTACACACACTGGCAACACACATCTCAGTTCAAACAACTTGTAAAAGTGCATGTCGCATCCGATGACCCCTTTTAATGACTCAGATCTGAGATGGCTGAATATGGTTGAATATATTTGACCTGGTATTAGAAGGTGCAGGTCCTAGATGAACTAATCACAATTCCTAAATATCCAGTTAAACATTATGGGTGTTCCTGCAATAACAAATGCTGTTATATTAAAATACGTAGCTTCAATCACTTTTACCCAGAGCCGATCCTAGACTTCTGGGGGCCCTACGCAAAACTGTGTCAGCGGGGGGGGGACGAGTTATTAATGAATGAAACGCCTTTGTACGTGTTCACTCCCTCTCAAATCGCTCTCACGGAAAGCGCTTGAGAAACGCTGCGGCTCAGTATGCTTTCAACTCTTTTTTTTTTGTTTTTTTTTGTCTCGAGTAACACTATGAGACACTATGACATTCACGTTACATGATTTGACTGATTTTTACGTAGAAAGGGCGACAGCGCACCACATTAAAAGAAATGATGTAAGCGGTTTTCATAACCGCTGGCCAAATTCAAAAACGAATCTAAAATTAAATCATCTTTGAGAGCAAGGGGGACCCCTGGTGTTTCGGGGGCCCTACGCAACTTGCGTACTTTCCGTATAAGGAGGATCGGCTCCACTAGTGTACATGGAGGTGCTCTAAACACTGGTATGTTCAAAGCTCTCAATAATCTCTCTTAAGATTTGTAAAGTAACTTAGTATACCAAACCAGATAATCATTTCAGCAAGGAGATTATTAGCTAAATCGGAAACAACAACGCTTCAAATGTTATGAAGAGGGTAAGACACTGAAATTCTCAGTTGGTAGTTAAAAGAAGCCTGTTATCTCACAGCACAGCTGATTGGCCTTGTGTCATCTTGGAAAGTACACTAACGTTTCAAAGTTTGTGGTCAGTATGATTTTTTTGTTGTTGTTGTTGTTAAAGAAACTAATACTTTTATTCAGCAAGGATGCATTAAATGGATCAAAAGCCACAGTAAAGACTTTCACTTTTACAAATAAATGCTATTTATCAAAGAATCATGAAAAAAATAAACCATGATTTTTACAAAAGTATTAAGCACTATTTTCAACATTGATAAGAAATGTTTCTTGAGCATCAAATCAGCAAATTAGATTGATTTCTAAAGGATCATGTGACACTGAAGATTGGAATTGGAACACAGGAATAGATTATTTATTTTAAATTGTAATAATACTTCACAATATAACTGTTTTACCATTTTTTTATTAAAATAAACATAGCCTTGGTGACTGGTGAGTATAAGAGACTTCTTTCAACAGCATCATAAAACATCTTTTCAACTTATGAATGGTCCATCCACACACACTGGATGTAAGTTTTAGATTTACAATAAAATCAAATTGTTCAAAATACCAAATTGTAAAAGCAAAAACACTTTTTCTTCAGTTCTACAGCTTGTATAAAGAGGTTTTACAGCGATTAAGCGACCATCATTTGTTATCAATGAGAACTGGCGAGACGTGGCCACTACCAGTGAACTGAGCAATTCTGTCATTTCAAGCCAAACAGTTCATTGATAAACATTCATGCTTGAAAATACATTTTAATTATATAGGCTAACTTTAAATGAACTAATGCCACACAGGCTACTCCCAGGTGGAAGTCAGCAATTATTACAATAGAAAAACTGTGGAAACGACCCTACAGCTGAAAACTAAATGATATCTCAGTCTGACAGAGTACATGGTAATAAGATCCCATGAAAGATCCATAATTAGGTTATTAACTTGGCCATGAGTTGTACTCAGGAGGTCAAAAATAACACTGCAATGTGCTCGGTCAGGCAATGTGGTTTTCCATACTGAGATGGGCAGGTGCTGCCAGTTCCAACTGTCGGAACACCTGCCTCCTGTTACCCCCTCTTCAAAGCCCCCCAATTCAGCTCTACATGGCCTCGGCTCAGGTGCACAGAAATGCCGGACAGGGCCCTTGCTGCTGCCCTTGCGCCCCTAACAGCTGACACCCTGAAATCATCCAAACTGCTCCTGCATAAAATCAACTCAGCCCACAGGGACTGGACTGCTAACTCAGATCTCCAAGATCCTGAATTGCTGAAAATCAAACAATGACAGAGACCTCAGAAAAATAATAGATTTAAAAAGAGTTCATCCAGCAGACCTTTACCATTCACACATATGTCTACTATCCTTTTCACATGGGGTCAGTGTGATGTTTTTTTTTTTTATTCAGCAAGGATGCATTAAATTGATCAAAAGCGACAGTAAATGTTTACAATGTTACAAAATAATTATATTTCAAATAAATTCTGTTCTTTTGAACTTTCAAAGAGTCCTGGGAAAAATAACAATTACCATGGTTTGTACAAAATTATTAAGCAGCACACCTGGTTTTAACATTGGTGATGATAAGAAATGTCTCTTGAGCACCAAATCAGCATATTACAATGATTTCTGAAGGATCATATGCCTGAAGACTGGAGGACTAAATGGTTAACGAAAATGTAGCTCTTATCAGAGAAGTAAATCACATTAAAGAAATTAAAGAATATTATATTATATATTATACGACTTTATTTTAAAGTATATTTCATATATGAATGTTACAATAATACTACTCAACATTTACTGTATTTTTGATCAAATAAATGCAGCCTTGGTGAGAATAAGAGTAAAAACTAATTCATATTGAAAATATTAGAGACCCCAAACTCTTGTGTGTGTGTGTAAAATGTAAAATTCTATTCTATAAAGAGATACATACACACACACACATAAATCCATCCACCCATGTACCCATGCCAGCATAGAGGAGGAATTCTGAACAACTGGTTTTCAGCTGTCAATACGACGTCGCAATGATTAAGTCACATGTCTTGTCAACACCATGATAAACCCTGTCAAAAACCATTACGTCACTGCCAATACAACACATAAAATAAGTCTGATAAAAATAGACAAAATACATTTTAAAAGAAAAAGAGACTGACCACACAAACACGTCGTTTTCACCAATGACCGGGATCATCAGTGCTTGGCTATTAATAAGGTAAAGCTAAATTAAGATAATCCTCTCAAATGGAATAAATAATCATGTAAATCTCTAGTGAAATACACCACAAGCTCCAACAAAATCCAATCTGCTACTGCTTCAGCTAAAGAAAAAGCTGCTTCAACATCTGAATCTTCTGGTACAACATTTACAAATAAAACGCGAAAGAAGTATTCCTTGTATGTAGTTATTTTCTTGTCTAAAACATACCAATATACTATAGAAAACAACTTGAAATGTGTTGATAGTGTATCCAGGAAAGCAGGCAGCATTTTTGTACAAAACCCCCAGCAACAGCAGTGACATGCCGACTCTTACCGTCATAAACTGCTCCAAGGGTGTCCAGTTTTATAAGTAAATATGATTTTGTAAGAGACCCAAGGCAGGGAGCAGAGAGCCCGCTCAGAGCAGCAGCGGCAGCCTCATACTGACCCACTCCAGCCCAGCGCACACATTCAACTCAACGGGGCCTCCGGTTCCTATAATCCACACAAACTCGATCCTGTGAAGCCAGTCAGCGAGGACACTTTACAATCCACTCAACGGGACCACTAGGGCGGTGGAAGGGATCTCGCAGCAGAATAAAAACGCATTTCCCACTCTGGAAGTCGGCTCATCGGGATCGGTCACTTCTCAAGCTGTCTCCGTTCACGTTGCTGTTACATCGTAGGACCCGTAGAAGCAGCAGCTGTGCTGAGTGTTACATTGTAACATGGCGCGACATCTCTCCGCAGCGCCACCAGCGGCTGGGGGTGGAGTCACAACCTGGGGAGCAGGGACATTTACTGACAGACAGACAGACACAGATTGATAGACAAGCAGACGGATAGATAGATAGATAGATAGATAGATAGATAGATAGATAGATAGATAGATAGATAGATAGATAGATAGATAGATAGATAGATATTCATTACTGCTATTAGGATCAACATGGTTTGATATCTGATATAAGTGGGCCACAACTGATTACTCTGATACAACCTACCAACTGTTAAAGCAATGAAGGCATTTCCGTTGTTCATCCAGATTTATATGGACAATGGTGACATCTTGTGGCATAATTGTGCTGATGCTCCTAATGACTTGCTTTTCACTAAAAAGTTTCGATTACTTAGAAGTACATCTTTAAAATGTACTATGCATTTGAGTTTTAATTATTAATTTGCATTTACTGTATGTCGTTGACTATCTTAAAATGCTATGTTATGTTTAGGCCCTGTACTGTGCAATAAAACATATGTTAGTAGCTAGGAATTCTTGAAATAAGTATTATATCTAAAACGTAATAGTGAACAGAATATTAATCTTACAGTATGACAAATGTTTAAAGACTAAACTGCATGGGGTAAAAAAAACTTAGTTGGAAGTTAGCTATTAGCTGGAGAAATCCATCTTCTAAACACCGTAGAGTAATACACTTAGCTGCCGCTTTAAAAGTGAGGATGAGGCTTCATACAGAGGAACAGTCCATTGGCGCTTGTGGGGAAGAGTCTTCCGTTTATGTGACAATGTACGGGTTTTCAAGAAGACGGTGTTTTAGGAGAAGTTCTGGGAATATATTCACGGTTGTTTGTTTCAGATGTGCAATGCTGCTAGTTAAATAAAAAAAAAATGAATGCAAAAAAGTTGGCAAAAGAAACGCATCCACCCCGTCGAAACCATTCTATTTATAGCATCAGCAGTTGCGATGTGAAGATTGTTACATTGTAATTTCATAAGGGCGGAGGAAATGCCTTAATTTCTCATTTACGCTGAAGGGCAGCTGTTTTGCTAAGAGCCTGTTGATTATTCTGATATACAGGGATGTCGAGGAGTCGGGGTTTTTGCACACTTGGTAACTCAACCAACCCATGACTGGTAAGTTTCCTGCCAGAGTCTGATAATGGTTTTTGACGATCATTGTCATTGATCAGTAGCTACTCAGAATCACACTCATGTATGTCATTTCAGACATAAACCGTTCACGAATGTCAGTTTATAGCCCTCAGATTCAGGTCGGCGTTGTTTACACTCACCATAAGCGTTTATTAAATAAGAGAACTCCGCACTGAGTGACAGATCTAACGGAGACGTCAGCACGCCGCGTTAGAGGTGACGTCATCGCCGATAGGGAACTTCTGAGTAACAGAGTATTTATAACGCTTTAGCGCTGGGTGGAAGTCATATAATGATACCTTTAGAAAATAAATTATAGGCTACAATTTGTAATAACATCGGAGAAGGTAAATGGTCGGCTGGCCATATCGGGAGCACCACCGGGAGAATTTTTTATATTATTATTATTATTGTTATTATTATTATTTTATATGTATTCCTTCTCAATGTACCAAAGTGATCATTTCCGATTTTTGCATTCGATAATAAATCATAAATTGGTTAGTTTTGACTGCGTGTCCCGCGCTTCCGAACAGAACCGATGCGCGAGACTCGATGCGCGAGAGAAAGCGGCCAGAAGAAGCAGGGAGATGTAGCAACACCACCGACCTGTTCAGGGCTTCAAGTGCAGGTCCGTTTAATCTGTAAATACGCTAGATAGTTGTGTCTTTATTAACCTAGTTGAGTAATAAACTGCTAGTATCTGTTAGGCCAGTATCAGTAGCACCAGGGTGCGAACTACGGGGGAGCTCGGTTCCTTTAATAAGACATGGGCTCCCCTGAAAACGTGATTTGTGAATTTTTTTTTGGTCTCAAAAAATATTGACAATGTGTTATTTTGACGTGCAATTTCAGTTTTGTGTAATGTGATCATCGTGGATTATTATGTGTAAAATTGCAAAAATATAATTCATTCATATGCATGACTGCGATTTAAACCTAATTCACTTCAATAAAGATAACTATACATGCTATTCTTGTCAAGAGCATCAAGGTGTGGGGGTGCTGCGGTGCAAATTCCACTCATGTTTAGTACATGTTAACTCAAAGTTTCGTAGAAAAGATATAAACGCTGGACTCTGGTCGATTCTGTGGTAAGGTAAGGCATGTTATTCGCAATTATGTGTTGTGTCTGGGTTGTTATGTCTGCGTGACTCTCGATGTCTTAGGCCTAATTGAACGGAGGAATTATGGTATTAATTATAGTGCTTGCATAAAGCAAGTAGTGCATACACTTGTAGCTGTTATGTATTTCATTGTAATTCATTGTAAGCCTCTTTTTGAGGCACGCGCAAGCGCACGAACTCCCAATCCCCCCATATATAAAAAAAAAAGCCAAGTGGGCTCCCCCAAAGTCCACGGTATAGTTCCAACACTGAGTAGCACCCTATTATTATCATCATTCAGAATACTGTGCTAAAGGACATCAAAATCGATTGTAAAGTTTCATTAAGAAATGAGCAGAGACAGACAGTCACATGGATTTATTGTACAGGGAGGGAGGGAGCTAGAGACAGCAACACAAAAATAATATGAGTCACAGCCTAATAATTCAATAGTGTGTTCAGTATTAGAATTTTTCAACAAATATATTGTACTAATTTTGACATTTAGGCACTTTAGAAAATGTTTTAATACACAGTCAAAAGGTTTTCAACCCAAGGAGTATTAAACTGCTAGTAGGCTATCTGTTAGGCTATCAGTAGCACCCTATTATTATCATCATTCAGAATACTGTGCTAAAGGACATCAAAATCGATTGTAAAGTTTCATTAAGAAATGAGCAGAGACAGACAGTCACATGGATTTATTGTACAGGGAGGGAGGGAGCTAGAGACAGCAACACAAAAATAATATGAGTCACAGCCTAATAATTCAATAGTGTGTTCAGTATTAGAATTTTTCAACAAATATATTGTACTAATTTTGACATTTAGGCACTTTAGAAAATGTTTTAATACACAGTCAAAAGGTTTTCATCATTAAGATTTTTAATGTTTTTTGAAGAAGTCTCTTCTGCTCACCAAGCCTGCATTTATTTGATCCAAAATACAGCAAAAACAGTAACATTGTGAAATAGCTTTATATTTGAAATAGCTGATTTCTATTTGAATATATTTTAAAATTTAATTTATTCCTGTGATTTCAAAGCTGCATTTTAAGCATCATTACTCCAGTCACATGATCCTTCAGAAATCATTCTAATATGCTGATTTGCTGCTCAAAAACATTTTTTATTATTATTATTATGTTGAAAACAGAATTTTTTCAGGTTTTTTTGATGAACAGAAAGTTCAGAAGAACAGCATTGATCAGAAATAGAAGTCTTTTGTAACATTATAAATGTCTTTATCAACACTTTTGATCAATTTAAAGCATCCTTGCTAAATAAAAGTTATAATTTCTATA